ACTACCACAAGAAGATTAATCAACACAGCCATCACATCACATAATTACAATTTGTGTGTGTGTGTATGCGAAGAAAACTTTTAAGATCTACTCTCTTAGCACCTTTCAAATATACAACACATTATTGTTAACTATAGTCACCATGCTGTACATTACATTCCCAGAACTTATTCTTCTTATAGAAGTTTATAATTCTTTGTCAACCTTCACCCATTCCCTACCTCTCCCATCTGGCCGTGGTAACCACCAATCTGCTCTCTGTTTCAATGAGTTTGGGTTTTGGGGGGTTTTTTTAGAGTCCACATATAGGCGAGATCATACAGTATTTGTCTTTCTTTGATTTGTATCAGCATGGTGCCCTTGAGTTCCAATTATGTTGTAAATGGCAGGAGTTCCTTCTTTTTTATGGCTGAATAATACTGCTGTTTGTGTGTGATATAAATAATTAACATATAAATATATATGTACATCACATCATGATTTCTTTAACCATTTATCCATTGATGGACACTGAGTTTGTTTCTATGTCTTGGCTATTGGAAGTAAAGCTGCAATTAACATGGAGATACAGATATTTTTTGAGATAGTGATTTCATTTCCTTTGGATATATACCTAGAACAGGGACTGCTGGATCATATGGTACTTCTTATAATTTTTTGAGAAACCTCCGTACTGTTATCCATAGTGGCTGCACCAGTTTACATTCCCACAGTAGTGCACAAGGGTTCCCCTTTCTCCACATCCTTGCCAACATTTGCCTCTTTGTCTTTTTGATAATAGCAGGTGTGAGATTCCTAGCAGGTGTGAGATGATATCCCATTGTGGTTTTGGTTTGCATTTCCCTGATGATTAATGATGCTGAGCACCTTGTCATGTGCCTTTTGGCTATTTTGAAAGTAGCCTGAACTTCTATTCAGGGTTTGCCTATTTTTTAATTCAATTAATATTATTTTATTATTTCTTTTCTTCTTTTCTCTTGTCTTCTTTTGCAATTTTGTTGTATGTATTTCTTATATATTTTGGATATTAGCCTCTTATCAGATACGTAGTTTGCAAATATTTTTTCCCATTCCATAGGCTGTCTTTTCATTTTGTTGATCATTTCTTGTGCTGTCAGAAGCTTTTTAATTTGATACAGTCCCACATTTATCTCTGCTTTATTGCTTGTACTTCTGGTGTCATATCCATGAAATTAACCCTAAGACATGTCAAGGAGCTTTTTCGCCTCTGTTTTCTTTTAGGAGTTTAATAGTTTAAGATCTTACATTTAAGTCTTTAATTCTTTCCAAGTTAATTTTTGTGAGTGGTGTAAAATAGGGGTCCAGTTTCATTCTTATGCATATAAATATCCCATTTTCCCAGCACCATTTATTGAAGAGATGGTCTTTTTCTCATTGTGTATTCTTGGCTCCATTTGATTGGGTTTAAATCTAGCAGTTTACTGTTGCTTTCTATTTATCTCATTTGTTCTTTCTCTTTCTTTCTTTATCTACCTTATTTTGGATTGAGTACATTTATGATTCCATTTTTTTCTCCTATATTGGCATATTAGCCATACTTCTCTGTTTGTCTGTTTGCTTTTAGTGATTTCTTTAAGGCATTGGTTCCCAAACTGCATTCCTTGGACCAGCATCACCTGGAACTTGTTAGAAAAGCAAATTCTTGAGCCCTATCCAAGATCTATGTTATCAGAAGCTCTAGGTCTGTGGACCAACTGGTGTATGGTCTGTGAAGTCCCTCAAGTAATTCTGATGAAGCTAAAATCAGAGGAACATTGTTCTCGGTTTAGAGTGTACATCATTAGCTTATCACAGTGTACTCCAAATAATATTATACCACCTTCTGTACTTCCATTCCCCGTGCATCTCTTTGGCTGTTGTTCTTATTCATCTTTCTTTTCCATATACTATAAACTCCATGATACATTGTTATTACATTTCTTTTAGCATCAATTATGTTCCAAAGAAATTAAAAATTAGGCAAAATACACACTATATTTATTCACACATTTACCATTTTTGTGCTTTTCATTCCTCTAGGTAGATTCAACTTTCCATCTGATTTCATCCTCCTTCCTGAAGACTTTCCTTTAATATACTTGATAGTGCCAGTTTGCTGGTGATGGATTCTCTCCCCTTTCGTTTGAAAAGCTTATATTCCATCCTCAGTTTTGAAAGTTATTTGTGTTTAGTGTAGAATTTGCTTAGTATGGAATAGTTGGATTTTCTCTTGTCTTTCAGCACTTTGAAGATGTCACTTCATTTCCTCCTGACATGCATAGTTTTTGACAAGAACTCCATCTTTCATCTTCTGTTTATTATTTGTAATGTGTCTTTTTGCCCCCTTTGGCTGTTTTTATGTTTTTCTTTTTGTCACTGGTTTTCAGTTTTATTATAAGTTGACTTACATGGTTTTCTTTGTGTATATCCTCCTTGGGGTTCATTAGATCCTTGGATCTATGTATTTGTTTTCATCAAATTTGGAAAAAAGAATTGGCAACTATTTCTTAAGTATTTTTTTCTTTTTCCCTTTGTCTTCTTTCATTTTGGGACTACAATTACATCTATATTAGACTAGTTGATATTGTGCCACCGGTCACTGAGCCTCTGTTCATCTTTTTTCCTAATTTTTATTCTCTGTGTGGTCCATTTGGATAGATTGTAGTGCCAGGTCTTTAAGTTTAATTATCTTTTCTTTTGCAGTGCCTATTTTTCTGTTAACCCATCAGAATATTTATGATTTTATTTTTTTAGAATATTTATGATTTTAAATATTCCATTAATCACTAGAATTTCCACTTAGGCCTTTAAAAAATCTTCTATTTCTCTTCTCATCATGGTGATGCTTACCTTTGAATATAATGAAGCATGTTTCTCATCACTGTTTCAATGAAATGTCTGATAAGTCCATCATTTTTGCCATTCTGGGCCTGTTTCTGTTGACTGATCTTTCTCCCTGTTATTAGTTGGCTTCCATAACAAAATCCCACAGACTGAGTGGATTATTTTTTCAAAGCCCTAGAGACTGGAAGACTAATATCAAGATGCCAGCAGGGTTGATTTCCTCTGAGACCTCACTCCTTGCCTTGCAGATGACCACCTTCTTGTTGCCTCTTCATAGGGTCTTTTTCTCTGAGCATGTACATTCCCTCATGTATCTTTGTGTATCCAATTTTCTCTTATGAAGACATTAGTGAGATTGGAGTAGGATCCACTCTAAAGCCTTATTTTAACTTAATCACATCTTTAAAGCTTTTATCTCCAAATACAGCTATATCCTGAAGTACCGGGGGTTTGATTTTTTCCACATAATGAATTTTGAGGGGACATAATTCAGCCCATAACACTCCTAGTTTTGCTTTATAAAATTCTTGGTGATTTCTTATTGAGTACTGTACATTGTGAAATTTAGATGTTAAAAGCCATATTTTGATCTTTTCAATACTGTTGAACTTGTTTCTAGCATGCAGTTTTGTGACTTGGGTTCGGTTTGATCCTTCTGGGTATAGATCCAGAGCACCTTCAGTCTAAGGCTAATTTTACCAACATCCACTCTGCCTCTTGCAAGTAAGGTGATAACTTTCCAGAATACTACCCATTGCCCACATATGATATGTAGATCTTCCGTTCTGGCTTGTGGGAATATGAATTATTCACAACCTTGTGTCAACTCAGAATTGTTTGCCTTACTGCTCCCTGCTAGTTCTTTATCCAGATTCATGTAGTTTCCGTCACACACGAGCACATCAGTACTCAGCCAAAGACTTGAGAATGGAGCTTCCTGCTGTGAATCTCTCATCCTTTCCACAAATTCTAGCCACTTTGTCCTCCATGAATTCCATTCTTTGTCTCATCAACTCAGTGAGACCCCCAGTCTTGGCTTGAGTTTCTCCGTGCTGCAGCCTGTAAATTGCCTCCAGGCCATAAGCAGAGACAGTTGCCAGCAACTGGTTTTCTCACCTTGTTTTTTTCTCTTTTACCTACTGTCCAGTATCTGAATATACTTATTCCATGTATTGGGTTTTTCCCCTAGTTTTTCAATGCATGAGGGTAAATCTAGTCCCTGCTACTCTATCATGGCTGCAAGTAAAAGTTCTATTTTTGTAGTTGTTTCATTTTTCAAGGTGCAAAAATTCAGTAAAGCCATTTTTTAAGTATTTATTATAAAATCTTGGTACCCATTTAAATAGATTTACTGTTTTTTTTTTCAGCACCATTTATTCTCAGATAAGATAATGAGGACATACTATATTTATCCAAGATATGATATGAATTGTTAATCACTTTGGTATCATAGGAAGAATTCAATGCAAATAACAAACTTCGGAGGAAGATCGATGTGAAATACCAGTCATTTCCTGGGATTTATTTAGTTGATTTGTTAGGGATATGTATAATTTATCTACTAAAATTTTATGTTAGCAAACAATAAAAACTGCTTGGCATTTGGTGCAGTTATTACAGCGCATAAATAAAAAAGAAAATATATACAGATTAATATGCTTTTGTTTCAACATGGATATAAATTAGTTACTTAGAATTATCCTCTCAAATTGGTAATAGCTTTTCTTCTTTTACTCATCACTGACCATGACAATTAATGGGATCTTTAGAAAAATGCATATAAAACATCTAGTAAGAGAAGATTGACACGACCCAGTGTGGATGGACATCTATCCACTGCTGCTCTTGATTTCATTTCTGCATATAGTGGAAAGGCTAAGGGCAGACTGCTCACTTTCTGTCTGATAATAAGCAAATCTGTGCTCATAGTTACATTCTTTGAATTATTCTGAATTCTAGCAGGGAAAGCATGAAATACATAAAATATCGTCATGGTGATCATTTACGCTTTGAAATAATTAGGAGATTAATTCAGTATGCAAAGCAGCAAGAAATGAACTTTGTTAATACCTTAAACATGCTTCTGATACATCCTTCTTGTTATATTCTGCTTAATTTTCCACCTGATTTTCCATTTTCTCCCTCTCTCTCACCAGGAAAACCATTGGTGTTTTCTGCTGCGGACCCAATTCAATTTCTAAGACTCTTCATAAACTGAGTAACCAAAACAACCCATATGGGACAAGATTTGAATACAATAAAGAATCTTTCAGCTGAAAGTCTTTGAGAGGAACCAGGACTCTGAACAAGGAATGAGTGCAATTTCTAAGACTGAAGCTCAGCTGAATCAAGTAGCTGTGTCATGCCAAAGAGTAGCAAGGTTTTCTTATTTATGATTATTTAAAATGGAAATGCAGAGGATGTGGCAAGATGACAGGTCACATTACATGTTTAATCTGGAAACCAAAGAGGCCCTGAAGAATAGTTGCTGTGATGATTCACTTTTCAGTGCTCAAATGAAAACAAAACTATTAGATGCACACTGTTGATTTTTATGGCAGATTCAAGAACTCCCTAGTGAGGTGCCTCACTTGCTCACTGTGAGACTGATAGCCGTGGTCCTCTTTGAATTGTTTTTGGTTGAACAAATGCAAGATTGAATGAAATTAAAAATGCATTGAAACTCAGATTACATTTTCTACGTGAGTATAAACAGAGTAGTTTTGATTTAGGAAAGCTCCAGGCAAATGTAGTAGATGTTTGAAAATACAGCACAGGACTCTGTATTAATACGGGTACTTTGTATCTCCTCTTCCTTACTACTGACGCTAATACCTCTGTTTGATGTCTGTGGCCTTAATGCTGAATGAACTTTGGTAGATGTTGATAGAGTATCTATTTTTATGTTTTTCTTTCTTCTTTTTTCCTCTATGGAAATCTGCCCTCCTTTGCATGCATTAGACATGATGATTTAATAGGTCCTTTTCATCTGCAATTTACTTAATCTATTTCTGTTGCAATAGTAATGGGGAAAATATCATTACAGTAAATCATAAAAGGATATATAGACTAATAACTTTTCCCATTGCTCAGCATTTTGGCCTCTGTTATTTTTATTTACTTTTTTCCCCAGCATAGATTGTCTTATTTTTCACCTCTGAAGGTACTTTGTTTAATTTGCACTTTGAGACCGGAGAGCACTGTGTCTCTCAGTGGTCACTGTGATGTAAGATATCTCTCTTTTGCCACATATTGGTTTATACTGGAGACATTGAAAGTGCAGCCACATTCCTGAACAACAAGAGGAAATACTTCATTAATTATTTGAATTTAAGTTCAGAATCAGGAATATTATTTGTTGCACCATCTGGTATTTTGGGTCTTGATGGGAAATTATCGAGTTTAAAGTCACTGTTGGGACGATACTGCATAATCCTATCACTTTATGCTCACTGGCCATTATATTCTTGGCTCAGAGGAAAACTCCATTTCCCTACTTTAAGAATTAAGTCATTTTTTTGCAGTTTAGTGATTTTATTTTGTAGACATCTATCAACTGCTATCAGATAGAGCACATTGCTGAAATAAGCAGAATGACTTATCTTGCCTTTGTTAAAATTTTGCGTGGTTTCACAGAACATGATAGATGCTACTGTCATTTTTTCTCTGATTCACCAATAGCAATCAAGCATGATAAACCATCTAGCATTGAATGCCCATGAACATATTACTTATAGATATTTCTTCCTTCCCTTGGAATTCTTTCTTCTTCCTTCTGTGGAAGGAAGGCGAGTCAGAAAAAGATATGGGAAATGTGCAATATTCCTACAGATTTAGCTCTGAAGGCATATTTGATAACCAGTACATCTTGGCAACACTTTCTAAACTAAAAAGAATTTTCATAAAAACACATAACAGAAAGAACAAGTAAAAAGAAATTTGAGTTAGTACAGGCTTGATGTGCAATACTGACTCTTTGCTGATCATAGTTTATTGATGTGATTATACTAATACCCCTAATTTCAGTAAAAGAGGTGGAAGATTTTTTCAGAAAAGGAAACATCTTTCCAGGTAGGTCTGCTATTCTAGATGAACAGCCCTGTCTCTTTGAAATTCTAGTTGATGTTCAAACATGAAATGTTAAATACAGGTCATCTTTGCTTCTATAGGTAGTAATAAAATTAGGTTTTCATCATGCATGTAGAAGAGAGTTTTGTTTTGTTTTGAGGGATTTTTTTTCTCTGGGGCTATGCCTTGTCCTACAGGTCTTAAAACAGTCATGTCAGTGGCAATAAATGTTAAAATTGAAAGGGTATCATGAGATCTCTATAAGCATGCTTTACCTTTGCAACAAATAAAGCAGGCAGTGTTTTTTCACAAGATGAGGCAAATTGAAGAAACAATCTATTTGCATCTACACTAGCATGAGAGCCTTAGGAGTTTGAGTTCTACAGCTGTGGATGTCACTGGCCCATGGTGTAACTGTGGCAAGTTGCTCCCACTTTGGGATTAAGATTTCTTGTTTGGACTAGATCAGTAGTATTAATCTTTTCTGGGTAATGTATCTTTTTGAGAACCTGATTAAAAGTGAATATAATGACATTAATGCAAAATATTACATACAATTTTGGGGAGCCCACAATCTCCCCAATTTAAGAACCCAAAGCGAGGACCCCAATTTAAGAACCTCTGAACAAAATAATCCATCACTCTAGATCTTTCTACGTATACATTTTTTGTGATTTTTTTTTTTGCAAGAAACTATCCATTTTTGTAAGATGATAGTAGGAAATTAACTCTGTGGACAAGGAAAGGAAATTCTCTTTATATGCCCTCAAACAGAGAATCCAACAGAACATTCCCTCAGTTTTTAATTTTAGATCTCCTGCTTTATGCAAGGGAAGGCTGTGATTTTACATATCCATAATAATAAAAGACAGATTCATATACATGCATGCATGCATACATACATACATACCACACATGTATTCATGGCTTACTTTTCTTTTTCTTTTTTTAAATCAGGTTAAAAAAGAAATGATAGTTTATTGTTTTGTTTTTTTTTTTTTCATTTAGCAACTTAAAATGTCAGCTGGGTGACTGTTATAACAAAAGCACTTAAAACAAAAAATAAAAGCAATATAGACAAAGCATAGGCTGAATTTATTTAATCTCTATATCCAAGTTACTTACAACTCCTCAAATCACTGTTTACTTGGAGCATTCACAGCAGGTAACACTGAAATCATAAGGCATTGCTAAAGAGGCTGGTCAGAGGCAAATGGCCATTGTCATCAACAGATAATGCTAGTGCCTAAGAATGTTTATGATATTAAAGAGAAAAAGAGAAAAAAAAACTTAAGAAAAAAATTTTTTCCTTAAGGTTAACCCAGCTTGAATGGTGTTGTTGTTTTTTTTTTAATTTTTTATTGTTAATCACCATACATTACATCATTAGTTTTTGATGTAGTGTTCCATGATTCATTGTTTGTGCATAACACCCAGTGCTCCATGCAGAACGTGCCCTCTTTAATATCCATCACCAGGCTAACCCATCCACCCACCCCCTCCCCTCTAGAACCCTCAGTTTTTTTTCAGAGTCCATCGTCTCTCATGGTTCATCCCCCCCTCCGATTCCCCCCCTTCATTCTTCCCCTCCTGCTATCTTCTTTTTTTTTTTCTTAACATATATTGCATTATTTGTTTCAGAGGTACAGATCTGTGATTCAACAGTCTTGCACAATTCACAGCGCTCACCATAGCACATACCCTCCCCAATGTCTATTGGTGTTGTTGTTTTTAAACAAACTGATGAGACACATTTTTAAGTGCTACTTATGATAAACATTCCATTTTGTGTGCAGCCCAGGACATTTTCATATCCAGTAATGTTATAGAAACATAAAAGGCTGAAGTTAGGAGTACTTTTATTTTGTGGTCGAGAACACCTAGTTATAAAGGGAAATGGTAGCTTGCCTGGTCATCCACTGGGTGAGATGTATGGCACAGGGGATACATAGTCATATCGCAGTAATGTTATGGTGACAGGTGGTGACTGCACTTATTGTGGTAGGGAGAAAAGTCATCCACTGAGTTTGTCGCAGAGCTGAAACTGGAGTTCAGCTTTCCTCCTCTCTGCTGCTCAAGGGCACTTTCCACCTCCCCATGACATCCACATCTAATAAGACGCATCTGGTCCCATTAGTTCGCTGTAAACTCTATTTAGTGCAAGGTGGAAAATAAGGTACTAAGTGTTAATTCCAGATTCAAATGTAGAAAATCACACTCTTCTTCCCTATGTATCTTCTGATTCTAAATGTGTTAGTCTTTTATGTTTTGCCAATTAGAACCTATTTCCAGAAATCAGTTTTAAAATATGGCAATTCCGCAAACAATGAATCATGGAACACTACATCAAAAACTAATGATGTAATGTATGGTGATTAACATAACAATAAAAATAATTACAAAGTCAAAAAAATAAAATAAAATATGGCGATTGTGCTGAAGGGATTATGTTCTCCAGAACTTTGAAGAAATATGGAATCGTTTGGTTTCTAGGAAAAACTAATATTTAATTTTAAATTTAGATTCATAAACAGAAGTCATAACTTCCCAGCTTTCTAACCATCCAGGAAAATGTTGATATTAAAACAGATGATTATTGTTCTCTACTCACATGACCATTATGTTCAGGAGAAAACAATCAGCTTTTTGTTAACTAGTGAGACAGGAAATAAATGAAATCAAGCATAATGAGCATTTACTTCAAGCAGCACAGAACAATGAGAACTCCTCTCTCCTTCTGTCTAAATCTCCACTCCATTACCCCAGCTTCTTTATCCCATACTGTGGTATTCTCAAAGGACAAAGTTGCAAAAGCTAGCTAGATGAAGTTTTCCAAAGGAAAGAAGCAGAAGACTTCTAATACTTGGTGAAGAAAGGTCCATTAAGACAGAAAGAGAAAAATGGCCATGCCAGTCACTTAAAATTAGCAAAGAGTTAAGCAATGTTGCTTTAGAACAGAGACCATAAATTTTCTTTGAAATGAATATGCAGAATGTTTAGTTTCTCTTATACAAAATTGTTATATTCTTGTTGCTAAAATCTGAAAGTGGATTTCATATTTTAAACATTGTAGCAAAACTACCAGTAATCTTCCTGCAGTGTTAGGCTACAATTTAAGAATTGGTAAGGGCAAGAAATGCCTTAGAAGAGCAAAACTAGGAAGAAAAAAAAGAAGTCAAAGAAAGAAAAATTACTGAACACATCAGGACATGATTATGCTTTTCTTTTCAGAACTCGATAGATGTTCAAGTGTTTGGCAGAACTGGCTATTACTGTGGTTTGGGAAAATGTAAAAGAATGTAATATTTGGTTTGTTTCTAGGGGTCCTTTCACATTTTCATTGCAACTAGAATTTTAGCAGAAGCTTTACCTTTGATCAGAATTACATCTGGCTTCTAGGAGAATTAGAGTTTTCATGAGCTGCTGGTTGACCTGGAGACAACCCCGCCATTTAGATGAGAACCAGCACTATGTAAATGCTCTAATATATGTAGCAATAAAGAAGGAGTCTGCCATGCCTTTTCGTCAGCTTCATACACTGCACATTAAAATTCTGTCACTGCAAGGTCATATTTCTCAGCTCTCATCCTGCCACCCAGAGAATGAAACCTTCTTCACAAATGTAGACACTGAGAAACAGAAGTTCTCTCTTGCATTGTAACAGTGTATCTGTTCACCTATATCTGCATATTCATTTGAAACTGGTTCTCAATTAGGATGACTATATAATTCATTTTGGTGGTGAGAGATCTCCACAGTGTACACAATGGGGCCTTGCTTGTCTGCTGAAAATATATATGGCAGCCAACCCATTGGCCAGGGAGAAAGCAGTTCAATCTTCTAGGTTTTCCTCTCCAACGGAGTCTTAAAAGAATGTAAACTACCTTACCACACATATACTGGAATGTGACCTGAGTTGTACTCCGTGTTCTGTGATTCAATGTACTGCACAGTTTATTCTTGATTATCAGGGACTGTCTAGTTTAGGAAAATTCTAGCTCTTCAATAAGTGTAGCTTCTTTAACCACCTAGCTAGGTGCCCACCAGGTACAATTATATCCTTTAAAGATGGCCACCATCTGCTGACCAAATGGCATTGACAGGGACCTTTCTTTCATTTTTTCTCTTCTCATTAAAATTTGATTCAGATTCAGAGTGGGGAAGAGTAGAAATTGCTTTCAAAAGTAGGAATGATTGACTGAAGTTCTGTTTACCCTGAGAGTGCCAGTGTCATCATTTTATCCAGCCACCTCCAATGTTAGAGTAAACAGGCCCTAGGTTAGAAATACGAAGACTCGTAGCCTTTATCCCTGAAGCGTATTAGACTCTGTACATAAAAATGTGTGTAATTTCTACCTCTGCCTACATCCCTTTTACTGGTATGTAGTGGAGCAACATGTGGGGAGGAAGAGGAAAAAAATGCTGAGGTAAGAGAAATTTCCTGGGTAAATCTTCCTTAGTAAGTTCTTTGCTAACATAGTAAAAACAAAACAGTGCTCTGAGAAAGTAAAAACACAGGCTTTTATGAGTCACCCGTCCATTGTACCTGAAAGGCTTAGTATTTAATTATGTTTTCTAGGCAAGCAGAGAAATACCTGCAAGCAAATAAGCACCATTGTCTTTGTTTTTCTGAGATTCCCATAAACAAAGTTGCCTGTTATGTCCAATATAGCTGCCTTCAGGATTCCTCTTTTTTTTTTTTCTTTTTTTTTTTTAATATTTTATTTATTTACTTGACAGAGAGAGAGAGTAGCAGAGGGAGCGGGAGCGGCAGTCCCTGCCGAGAGGGAGCCCGATGCGGGACTCGATCTCAGGACCCTAAGATCATGACTTGAGCCGAAGGCAGACGCTTAACGGCTGAGCCACCCAGGCACCCCAGGATTCCTCTTAAGTAATTTTGATCAGGGGGCGCCTGGGTGGCTCAGTCGTTAAGCGTCTGCCTTCGGCTTAGGTCATGATCCCAGGGTCCTGGGATCGAGCCCGGCATCGGGCTCCCTGCTCGGCGGGAAGCCTGCTTCTCCCTCTCCCACTCCCTCTGCTTGTGTTCCCTCTCTTGCTGTGTCTCTCTGTCAAATAAATAAAATCTTAAAAAAAAAAAAAAGTAATTTTGATCAGGCCCAAAGTGGCTAGAGATAGCTGTATTGATCTATAACAGTCAAGCTAGGAATTGCTGGAGGGTGATATAAGTTATCCTACTTAAGGTTTGATGGAGGAAAAAGCAAGTGTTTATGAGACATCCCACTGAATTAAAACCAAGGCCTATATCTTAGAACTAGAAATAATTCTACAGAAGGAAAAAAAAAGCACTTCACTGTAGTTTTTTTCCTAGATGAAATAAAATTAATTTATCTTTTTTATAACTCTTACCAAAGATACTTCACACTATGTATCTTCTTCGAAGCTTGTGTTCTTTTGTAGAGATTTGTATTTAAATTGTGTGTGTGTGTGTGTGTGTGTGTGTTTGAGAGAGAGAGATAAAGTAAGTTGCCTGAATGAAAATGACATTCTGCTTTCCAGCTTTCATAATAAGCATTCAGTGGTGTGGCAGGTTTGCACTGGAGTTCTACCAAAATATGAGATGCTCAGCAATCCAAGTGTGGCATTTGATTCTTGTCTGACTAAATGGAGGTGTGAGTTTATACCTTGCTAGAGAGGAAGCACTAACCCAGAGTCAATACTTGCAGAGACTTGGGAAAATATATATATATAGTTATTTTTTAATGTAACTTTATTATTGTGAAGACATGGTATGTTTGTAGAAAACCTTTATTGTTTTAGAACATGGCATAGTGTTTAAAAGCTAAACAAATAAAGGTTGGACAAATATACTTAAAATATCTCTCATCATAGACTAATTGTGCACCTTTGGCAGTAATAATCAAGAATTGTCTCCTGGATTTTTAGAACAGGTTAGTGTTATTTTCATCCTAATGAGAGAACTGATGATCACACTAGCCTTACTTGTGAAGATATTAAACAAGCAATATTTAAGAAATGTTCCTTTGAAGCATTGAAAATGGTCTAATTCCAAACTTCTCAACTCTCTTAACATCATTTCATCCAATGTATAATTGCTAAATTTAATATGCTGGGTTTGGGATTTTGGTTTTATTTTTGTTTTTTTTGGTGGGGTTGGGGGGTATTATTCCTACATCTCATAACCATGCCCACTGAAATATTTATATGATTTTAAGATATCAAAATTATATATATATTTTTTGCATAGAAAATTAATAAAATATAATATGTTCATTATGAAGTCTAAATGTTGAGTTTTTATACTTTATCACTGAGGATTTCAGCTTTATCTAAATGTGAGTTTGCTGTAAATATTTACACCCATACAGTCACTCCGGCTGAGAGGATTTTGTTTGCAGTATCCTCTTTATCTGTGGTTTTGCTTTCCGTGCTTTTGGCTTCAGTTACACGCAGTCAACTCTGCTCCGGAAGCAGATAACCCTCCTTCTGACGTGTGGTCAGAAGGTCAATACATAGTAGCAGCGGAACGCTACCTCAAGATACCTGGGTTATTCACCTTACTTTGTCTCCTCATGTCAGCATTTTACCATCTCACATCATCATGAGAAGAGGGGTGAGTACAGTACAATAAGATATTTTGAGAGAGAGAGGGAAAAAGACCACATTCACGTAACTTTTTTTTAAAGATTTTATTTATTTATTTGACAGAGAGAGACACAGTGAGAGAGGGAACACAAGCAGGGGGAGTGGGAGAGGGAGAAGCAGGCCTCCCGCCAAGCAGGGAGCCCGATGCGGGGCTCGATCCCAGGACCCTGGGATCACGACCTGAGCCGAAGGCAGACGCTTAACCAGCTGAGCCACCCAGGCACCACTCACATAACTTTTATTATAGAATATTGTTATAATTGTTCTATTTCATTATCAGTTATTGTTTTTAATCTCTTACTGTGCCTAACTTATAAATGAAATTTTATCATAGCTAGGTATACATATAGGAAAAAATATAGTATATCTAGTGTTCAGTACTATCTGTGGTTTCAGGCATCCACTGAGGGCCTTGAAATGTCTCCCCCATGGACAAAGGATATTTTTCCCAACATATCACCCTCCCTTTCTAGAAATCTGTGAATTACACAAAATAAAGAATACTGATAGAATCAATCACTCACTCACAGGTTTGCCTGACATTTATTTACATAGGTGGGATATGAGCAGCTTGCCATAAGCTCTCAGAGACACAGCTGTGTTCCAGCACCATCTGAAAACTAGTTGTGTGGTTTTCCCCCATCAGAATAATGCAGACCAGACTCTTCTCTAAGATTCATTCCATGTTGTGTTTCTGCGTTGGCTGTGAACCTATAATTTGATAGTAGACAGGATGAGTGAATGCTTCAGTATATATGATTGTGGTCACTTTTAGGTCTTAAGGTATGCCTCGCCAGGTACACAAAGTTGGAAAGCTTTTGCACCAGCAGAGTGAGGATATTTGCTTCAGAGTAAAAGCTGTTATACCATCCATGTTTATAAATGTATGTTCTTTACATTAAATGATTATTCATTGTTTTCTCTAATCTCAAAGTCATTCATGGGTCAAATCAGATGCCACAGTGTTGCCTTGTTTGTAGGGACAGGTTAAAAGCAGGTTACTTCACTATGTGGTACTGCATTGTTCTCAATTCCTACCACATTGCAATCCTTCAAGTGATTTATTTTCAAAGAATCTGCTTCCCTCAGATGGTGTCTTGCCTCCTGTATTTTGCCAGGCTGTCATGCATTCTGTAATGGGCATTTCAATAGGTCAAGTTCAAATGCCTTTAAAGGCAAGATTAGCTTGCATTCCCTATGTGCATTATTTGCTTTGTGTCACAATGGGGTCATGAGTGCGTGCTTTAATAGCATTAGTGTTGTAAAATTACTCAGCAGCAGCAGCCAGTGAGGGAAAACCACAAAAGATAATTGGGAAAAAATGTTTTGGGGGTACGCAAATCAAGGAGACTTTGATGTAAATCTCAATCCTGAAGATTAAAAGTTCCTCTAAAATGCCTTCCTTTATTCATATTGATTACCTTGCTGTCAGGAATGTGTTTGCCAGAGCTCAGAAATATGAAAATGTGTGACAGTAAAAGTTCCTCATCAGACTTTTGATTAGGCAATGAAATCTGTAAGAAATCTTTTTAAGTGGCTTGTGTTACAGAGGCCCTATTTGCAGCTTGCTGAGAAATGTGTCAACTGGGAAATGTAAGCAAACTTCTAAAATGTGGTTTTGCATTTCAGATATAGACCCAAGGTATTGTGTAAAAAATATTTCTTTGAATTAGAGTGACTGTTAATTGTGACAGATTTCAAAGTCACCTTGCACGCATTTTGACAAGGTGAGTTCTGAAATTAAATTTCCAGTTTGTTCTGACAAAAGACTTTGGTGGGAGGTTTTGATTACTAAACAAACGCAGACTTTAAGTTTTTAAAATAGCTGTCTGTTTGCCTTAGGTTTCTTTTATGGTGGTGGTGAGAAGTAGTTAATTATTTATTTTTAAATCCCTGATGGGATACTTGCATGGGGAAAAAAACATTTGGTCTTTCAAAGCAGATGGAAACAATATGTCTAGTAATGTGTTACAACTGTGTGGGCTTTGTGAAGTTTGCCTTTC